GGGGTGGTTTCTGCCACCAGCCGTGAGACCTTGGCAAGTCACTGAGCCACTCTGACCTCCAGGCTCTTCGCCCGCAGCGGGCCGGCCGCACCCTTCCTATCACTACACTTCCTGCCGGAATGAGGGTCACACCTTGCTGTGCTCCCCGCTCTGTCTCAAGGCCCATGGCCTATGAAAAGATCAGAGAGTCCAGAATCAGACAAAACCACATCTGGTTCCAACACCACCCGTCGCCCACTCCGCAACCTTGGGGAAGCCCCTTCCCTCCCTTTCCTTGGCTTTAAAGCAGGGTGCACGAGCCCTCTGTTGCCGGTTAATTCCGTGTGACACAGCAGGTGCGCGGTGGGTGGCAGCCATCACTCTGTGTGGCCCAGGCAGGGACTGGGGTCAGGAAGGTGCAGAGGGGGGCGGCACGGGAGCAGCCTCAGGCTTGGGAGTCAGCGCTCAGACGGCTTCTCCGCCCCCGCAGGAAGGAGCATCGGCCTGTGCAACGGGAAGCTGAAGGCCATGTCCGGGGACGAGGTGGAGAACATGGAGCAGGAAGAGCTGGCTGACTGCGTCGGGAAGGTGGGGTCCTCCTGGGGGGGGTCTCGCTGTGGGGAGGAGGGAGAGTTTTAGCCCCAAGGTCACGGACTCTGCCCTTCTGTGACCCCATGCCCAGGTGTCTGTCTTCTTCAGGACCAGCCCGAAGCACAAGCTCAAAATCATAAAGGTGAGCTGGGAGCCTTGTGGGTCCGTCAGGGCCAGCGCGGGACAGTGGCGGGGGCTCTGGTCTGGGTGGTCCAGGGCCCAAGCTGGCGGGACCCTCGGCCGTACCCAAACTGGGGTAGGAGCACGGGTGACCTTGGCCACGTACACCAAAAACAGGAGCCGGAACGGGGTGGTGCAGAGGGAGAAAGGAAAAGCAGCTGACCTCTGTTAGCCGAGCAATCTTTGGCGTTATTCTTGTTAGTTGCCTCCAGGCCTCAGTTTCCCCATCTGTAAATGGGGGGGGAGGGGATAGTATGAATGACATTAGCTGGTAACAAGGCCGGTGAGAGGAACAGAGGAGGCCAGGCTCTGGAGCGCCCGGCACAGTGCCCGGCCCACAGCGGGTGCCCAGCAGAGTGGACACGGTCTGCTGCCCATGTGGGGAAGGGGGCCCCGCCGCATCGCTGGCCCCCCGCGTGTGCGCATCCGAAGATGTGCTCTGTGGCCTGGGCTGTTTGATCCTCGATGCTCTTGGTGGGGCGGGGGTGTAGTTCTAGGGAACAAGTCTGCGTGCGCGGTATTCCCTAGAGCAAACATGAAGACTTACTGGCCGCCACGTGGTTTCAGGGGAAAGTGGTAGACCTGTCTGTTGGTGGAGAGGGAGCCCGACACCTGCTGTCGCAGTGTGGCTCTCACAGAGGAGGGACGGTTGTCCCCACTCTGCAGATGGAGGAGCTCAGTCTGAGAGGTTCAGGGCCTGCTGAGCTCCACGGGGTGCCGGCGCGGCTGGGACTCGGAGTCTGGCCAGCTGACTCCAGAGGGGGCCTCTGCTGTTGGCCATGCAGAGGGAGAGGCAGAGCATCCTGAGGGAAGAAGGAAGGTTCTGGAAGGGCTGCAGCCTCCACTCGCCTCTTTTTTCCAAAGGCTTTGCAGGAATGTGGAGCGATCGTGGCCATGACAGGGGACGGGGTAAATGACGCTGTCGCCCTCAAGTCTGCGGACATCGGGATCGCCATGGGGCAGACGGGGACGGACGTTAGCAAAGAGGCCGCCAACATGGTCCTGGTGAACGATGACTTCTCAGCCATCATGTGAGTTGCTCCGCAGGTGGGGTTTTTAGGGGCAGAAACGCATGGCGTAACCAGCTGCCCACCCCGGGGATCCGTCGTGCTGGGAGATGGGTGTCCCAGCTCACGTAGCACCCGGGGCGGGGGCTGCTGCAGACACATGCGAGCGAACCCTTCTGTAGCCCGAGGGTGCAGCGGAGGGAAAGCCAGGACCGGGCGCTCGCAGAGGCGCGTGCCCGTGCGGTCGCTGCCGCACCGTTTGGGGGAAATCCTAGACCACCCTGGCTGCCAACAGCGGGAGCGGGAGCACGAGGAGGCCAGACCCGGAGACGCTCACCCCGTGGTGCTAAACGTGTGGTTTGAGTCTGGGGTCGTGCTCGTGTGGACACGGACGCTTCAGGCGCGTGTGAGCTCCAGCTGCCAGGATGACAGAGTACCTGTTTTCCTCACCTTTTTTTGTTTCCTTAAAAAAACTGCCTGCCCTCTAGATCTGATTTTGATTCGTTCTAATGAAATCTTTCCTTCTAAGTGAACTGAAGTCATTGGGGGTGGGAGAAGATATCAAGGATCTGAACAAAGACTGACGTTGGCTGTGATTTCGGACTCTGCAGAAGGAATCTTTTCTTTACAAATGGGTTCACTGTAGCGATCCTTAGTGTCCTTCCCCCGTCGTGTGGGGGGGGGTCACAAGATGCAGTTAGTAAGTAAATCTGTCATTTTTACTTTTGCAAAAAACTTTAGTAGAAAAAAAGATTGGGCAGTTTTCTGCATTCATGCCTCCAGATCGTTTTTTTAAAGGCTTCTGCAGAGTTTTCTAGAAATACAATAGATGATGTTTCCAGCTTCCCAATTCTCGCCCCGTGCCACGCGTGCCCCAGCAGCTCAGGAGCAGGTCTGGGTTTGGTTGGTTTTGCTGTGTCTCTTGTGGGACTCCCCGAGGTAGGTTTGTCGCTTCAGGAGTCCCAGGCTCGGGCGGGAGAGTAATCCAGTTTGGGGGCAGAAGGGGGATCGTGGCTCACGGTCCAGTCCCCAGCGCCGGCTGGTGCCGATCAGGACATCGTCGTCCTCCGCGGGCATGTCCTTGAGCAGCGAAACGGGAAGGGGCACCTGAGCATGAGGCCATCCCTGCTGACAGCATCGTGAATAAACGCTTTCTCTCTCGCAGGAATGCAGTGGAGGAAGGCAAAGGGATTTTTCACAACATCAAAAACTTTGTCCGGTTCCAGCTGAGCACGTAAGTCAAGGCCCGCAGCCCCCAGTGGTGGCAGGTGCTGCGCACGCGTCTGGTGAGCCGCCATCGACCATGCCGCTTGTGTCCCCGCAGGAGCATCTCGGCCCTGAGCCTCATCACTCTGTCCACCGTGTGCGACCTGCCCAGCCCCCTCAATGCCATGCAGATCCTGTGGATCAACATCATCATGGATGGGCCACCCGCACAGAGGTGAGGCGCCGGGCGGGCGGCCAGAACTGCGCCCCGGAGTGTGGGTGCAGTCACTGTCCCCAGGAGTCCCAGAGAAGTTGACTGCGGTGCAGGGGAGGAAGCACCTGCCTGGGCAGCCAGGGTCTGTGAGGGATGCTCCTGCGCAGCTCCAAAGCTCTGTGCCTCTCGTGAGGTCACCACCTCCAAGAAGTCCTCCCTGATTACCCTAACAGCAGCCTCCTGGCTCTCAATCACCGTACCTTGCTTTGTTTCTCCCCGGAGGAGAAAATATACATGTATGTCCTTGTCCTTGCTTATCTGATTCCGATCCAGCTCCCCTTGGACAAGGTTTGTGATGTTGTTCCCGTCAGTCTCCCCAGCTCCTAGAACGGTGCCTGGCACACAGCAGCTGGTCAGCGAGTCGCTGGCCGGCTGAGAAGGGAGCGTGAGGTGGGCTGAAAGGTGCAGAAGGACCACCTCTGCACACAGCGCGTCGTTCCATCCGACTGCAGCTGACTCGCATCCCGTTACCGACGTTCACTCGGTGGCACTGGTTACAGCTGCCGGCGGCAAGAGCCCTACTCAGTCCCCCTGGGCCCAGCGGGAGGGCACCTCTTCAACATGTGGGGAGCAGGGCCAGCAGTGAAGGGGCCCCCAGCCCACTTACTCCTCAGCGCCCCCCGCACTGCCTCCTGCTGGTCTAGCCCCAATACTGCCGTTTCACAGTCCCCAGGAGGCAGGTGTCCCTCCGTCACTGGGGGCTCTGCGGTGGGCAGGGCCTGGATCCCATTTCTCTAGCCCACTGGGGCGTCCCCTTGTGATGGACGTTACCTGAGCACGAGAGGGGACCTGGGGTGGTTCCAGGACCGTGGTGTGGCCGGTTCTGGGGTAGGGGGGGTCTTCCTTCACGGTGCTCAGGGATGGTGGAGGGAAGGGCTGCCCGTGGGGTCCAGGCTGGGGGTGGAGGTCACCGTGGAAGGGGCTGGCAGTTAGGGAGGGGACAGAGGATGTGAAGGGAGGCTAATAGAGAAGTCCCTGTGAGCGCAGGACTGGCCCAGGCTTGGGTGGACCGCCTGGAGGGGCTGGGCCCCCTACCCACCAGCCCCCCGACCTCCCAGCCGGTGGTGCCCGGGGAGCCGACCGGAGGGCCTGGAAGGTTCGGCCTCTGCCTGGCTGGCTGAAGTGTCCCTTCTCAGTGATTTACGTCCGGGCGCCCGTGTTGTGTTCCGAGTAGCTTGGGGGTAGAGCCCGTGGACAGAGACGCCCTCCAGCAGCCACCGCGGAACGTCAAGGACACCATCCTCAGTAGAGCCCTCATCCTCAAGACCCTCCTGTCGGCAGCCGTCATCATCAGCGGGACACTCTTTATCTTCTGGAAAGAGGTGAGGCCGGTCCTCACGGACTCGCTAAGCCACTATTCTCTAAGCCCCTGATGGGGGAGACTCAGGCCATGGGTGTGGACGGTCCCTGCCCGGCCATGGGGCTCAGTCTCCAACAGGGGAGACACGTGTATGCGTACAGGGGGCCGTCCTGGAGGGAAGGCAGGGGATCAGGACCCCACTGTGGGGGGCAGGTAGCAGGACAGGAGGCCGCCCAGGCATGGACCAGGAATGAGAGTTTATTCTAAACGGGACCTGAGGCAGTTTTCCATCCCGGAAACAATGAAATTTCCTAGGAAGGAAGGACGGGACGTTTGTTCCCTGGAGATGATCACTTGTGGGAACTTACTGGTCCCCTTCTGGTGTAGTGCTCGGACTGGAGAACCAGGCAGGTGCCACATGCACCAAGGGGGACGGGACACTGGGTCCCCACAGATTCTCAGTTTTTCTGAGCCTCCCCCGCTAGAGGAATGGCCTTGTTTTTCCCCAAATTCTCACCTGCCAGGGAAGGTGGGGATTGTCTACCTCATGCAGCCTGTGTGCACCCCTGGTGGGGAAGGGGACCCAGGCCCTCCAGGACTCGCACAGCGGTCCTGAGCACAGGGACCCAACAGCAGCCTCCTCCGCTCCGGGACCTGAGGGAAACGCAGACTCCTGGGTGCCTACCAGGACTCCGAGTCAGGCTCTAACTCACCGTACCCGCCCCCCCGCCCCCAGGAAGGTCCTTTGCTGGACCAGGGTTCTGTGCAAAGCCCAGGCAGGACGGGCTCATCGCCACCTCCCCGGGTAAGGGGGAAGTTCGGTGCGAACAGGAGTCCCTCTCACCTGCGGCTCCAGGCCCGACCCAGAGGTGTCGAGGGAAGTGAGCTCTGCCTCCCTTCCGAGCAGCCACACCAGAGCCGGGGAGGGTCTCCATCCCCTCCCTTCTTCTGGGAAGGGACCTTCTGCTCCGTGGGTGTGGCTGTAGCAAAGTCACCTCCCAGGATGCAAGGTCACCTGCTAGAGAAAGGAACATTCCCTTTATCTGTGCAAGGTTTCGGCTTGGGTGTGGGGGGCAGCCCAAGTTCCCGAGGACGGGCTGCTGGCCGCTCTAGCGGCCGGGGCTGGCTTGGGTAGGGGGGTGGGTCTGAGCCACGTGTCCCCTGTGACAGCAGCTGCCTCCAGCCCGAGGGGGAGGTCCTGGTCAGTTCCCAAGAAAGCTGCTCACTGCTGCTGGCGGGGGTGGGGGGGGTTAGGAGGGTGGGGGGGGTTAGGAGGGTGGGGGGTGACGCCCACCCTGGAGCTGCTGCAGCCTCTGCTTCTTGGTGAAGGTCGAGTTCGTTGTGGGAAACGCACGGCCTTCCCGGACCCCCTCCTCCCGTGCCTGTGTTCCAGATCCCCGCAGACAAGGCCAGCACCCCACGCACCACAACCATGACCTTCACCTGCTTTGTGTTCTTTGACCTCTTCAACGCCTTGACCTGCCGCTCTCAGGTGAGCCCCCAGCTATGCTCCCTCCCGGCCCTTCAGGACCCCGGGCTGTTCTCAGTGGGAAGCGCTGAGCCGACAAGGTGTCCTCCCCCTCCTGCAGACCAAGCTGATAGTTGAGATCGGTTTTCTCCGGAACCGCATGTTCCTGTACTCGGTGCTGGGGTCCGTTCTGGGGCAGCTGGCCGTGATCTACATCCCGCCCCTGCAGAAGGTCTTCCAGACGGAGAACCTGGGCGCTCTCGGTGAGTGGCCGTGAGGACGGGCCTGCGGGGGCCAGCACCTGTCCCCGCCCCCATCTGCCTGCACACTCGGAGGGGGGGCCCGAGGGGGAGGGTGACAGAATACTGAGGGAACCAGAGAAGAGGTACCTCCCCAGAGAGGACGACCGAAGGGAGGGGACGTGGCCTCCTGGCCCCTTGTCCCCAGGTGGGCGGCTCCGAGCACACACGGCATAGACAGCAAGGGCGGGGGGCTGCGCCATGGTGGGCGAGTCTGGGCTCCGTCTGTCCCCACTGGCAGTGGACTGGTATGTCTCGGACGCCCACTCACCTCACGACAGGGAGCAAATCGCCTAGTAGCTCTTGCTGGAAAAGACAGGAACTGAGGCCCACGGCTGTCCCCCACCTGAGCACACCTGTCCTGGCCTCCGCCCAGGCTGACCACAGGTCCAAGCTCTCTGTAAGACGCCCAGAGTGACCTGTGCGCCTCTGCCTGCAGCTGAGAGGACTGTGAACACAAATGGGAAAAGGGGACAGTCAGGAGGAGGAGGTTTAAGCTGCGGCTTTGACACGTCCCTGGGTCAGGACATAGGTCAGCGGTGGGGGACACGAGAGCCCTGGACCCTTGGGCCAGACTGGGGACCGTCTGCTCGCTTTTCCCCAAAATCTAACGGCAGGGTCCATGTGGGTCCCCGCCAAGTGCCCTACAGCTACAGACAAGAAGTAAGAACTTCAGCGGCTGGTCCTCTCTGCAGGGTCTAAGTCCGCTTTACCAAGGCTAACGGCTGGGGTGAGGTTGGTGGGGCCCCGTGTCTGTGCTGGGTTATTGGCAACAGGGACCCAGGGAAGGTTCGGACAGTAAGACACCGTGCGGTCAGGGGCGGCTCTAGGGACTGACCCACTGGAATGAGTCAGGGTGGGCCGCCCTGGGAGCCCGGAGCGGGGGGTCAGGGTGTCTGCCCTCAGGACAGCTGGGAGGAGGGTCAGGGTGCTCTGCCAGCTCAAGTGGGTGCCACACCCCGCCCCCAGCCCGGGACCACCTGGAAGGACCGGGTGGTCTGCGTGGAGCTGGCTCTGCCACATGTAGGTCCCTGGGTTGAAGCCATCTGCTCCCAGGAAGGGAAGGGTCTGGCCCTCAACTCCCCGGGTCCTCCCCCCTCACCTCTGGGGTCCCTGTGACTGAAGACAAAAGGGAGGGAGGAGCGCCCCGGGCTGAGGCTCCTGTGAGCTGGCTGGCAGCGCCCCTTCGGGGCAGAGGCCTGCGGCAGTGGTGACTCCTTTCTTCCTCCCCCTTCCGGCAGATTTGCTGCTTTTAACCGGACTGGCCTCATCTGTGTTCATCGTGTCCGAGCTCCTCAAACTCTGTGAAAAATTCTTCTCCAGAGCCAGGAAAGCCCAGACTCACGCAGATCACATCTAGGGGACCCGGCTGTGTGAAATCCTAAATCATCTCTATTTGACGGGACCGTGGCCCTTCCCCCGGCCCCTAGCCAGAGGGACGCTGCCAGGACACGGAGCGCTGGGCGTCTCCTTCGCCTCTGCGGCTCAGCCAACCCGGGCATGCGTCCGTCCCCATCTCTGCCCCCGGGGACAGGCCCCGAGCAGAGCACCCGGAAACAGCTACTTATTAAACCGCGGTGACTTGTATGAACCACGGCTGCATCCAGAGTGTGTCCCCACAGCTCCCGGGTGAGGAAGATCAGGGGTCCAGCCCCAGGGCCGGAGCTTCTGGTCGCCCGAGGGCCACCTCCCCTCCATCACCTCAACCCTCAGGAGGGGGATCTGAGGCATTTTGTAGAAGCTGCGCCCACGCCTGGTCCACTTTCTCCCTCCAAGCATCCAGACGGGAAATCTGATGCCACTTCTGGAAACCCACAAAGCCTGTTTTTCATGACCACATCCGGGGTGACCCACGGTCCCACTCTGAGTGGCATGAACCAGACCCATTCTTTGAAGGGGAACAGTAAAGGGCCTTTACCTCCAGGCCCGGGACCCAGAGCATCTCCCAGCTGCCTGAGGACGAGCCCCAGGACTTTTGGTAAAGATGGTGGAGCGGGGAGGGCGGGAGCCAGGCAGGAAGTGGCCACGGAGGAGCAGCGCCTGTGAAAGGAGCCACAGCTGTCCCCAGCACCCACTGCCGCCAGGTATTAGGGAGAGGGAGGGACACAGACCTGTCGGAAGAGGCCGGCACACCTGACTGTGAGGGCTGGCAGCTCCGGAGCGTGCCGACAGGGACTCCTTCCTTCTCCGACATCCCAGGCCTTTCTCTTAAGCCTTCAACTGGTTAGATGAGGGTCACCACGTTCTGGAGGCCACAGCCGCGATCCAGAGCCAACGGACTGGAATGTGGAGCCCACCTAAAAAGTCTCTCACGGGAACAGCTAGACTGGTGCTTGGTCAAACAGCTGGGCACCAGAGCCTGCCCGAATAGAGAAAAGTAACCGGCTGCCTGGGCCAGACCAGGGGCAGGGAGGTCCGAGTGGACCCCTGCAGCTCCCAGGCAAAGTTCAGATTCCTCAGAAGGAAGATGCATGGTCTGGGGTCACTATCCTCCCCCCACCCTGCCGTGACCCCCACTAGTGACCCCAGAGCTAAATGCGGAGACGCACGGGTGCCATCCCACCACAAAGATGATCGAGGGCGCGGCCTGGAGAGGAAGGCATTCAGACAGGGGTGATGGCCACCCAGCAGCTGCCCAGCCCTGCTAACTCCTGAGCAGGGCAGGCCAACTCTGGCCTCCCCCACAGCCTGGGGCACACCGGGGTCGGATTCAGGGGCCCTTCCCAGCACCATGTTGCCCCTTAAATCATTAAGAAGAACCAGGGTCGACTGATACTTGCAGTAACAGCATCAAAAGGTAACTCCTAGTCTTTACTACCGCCCAGAAATCCCTAAATAAAATGCCATACAGAACAGCCCCCGGTAGACTATCCGTGTAAAAGATAAAATAATTACTACTAGTACCAGGGACAGGTGAGATCTTGCTAACCAAGACCCCAACTGCGGACCGTAAAGTAAAATGCATAAATCAGATTACAAGCAAATGTAAGCCGTCTTTTCACCAAAATGCAGCAGACCTGAACACCTTTGAAGCAACTGAGCTTGACTCACATTTCTAGGACATGTACCCATCAGCAGCGGAGGGACAGTGACCAAAATAAAAACAGGAAACAGCAGAAAGCAGGGGAGTCCAAGATTTTTGATTTTGGACAAAAATCATATCAAAAGCTAGTTCCTCGAAGATACCAATACAATGGCCAGTCTTGCTAGAGGGTTAGCCAAAGGAAAAAGAGACAGATGGCTCATGTTGGGAAGGACGGTGGCTGATCACGACGGCTCCCTGAAGATACTCCAGCAGGAATCCTGAGAACCTCAGGCGCAGAAATTCAACAGGTTAAATAAACCAATTCCGTGAAAACCACAGACAACTGCAACACGTTACTATGCAGTGATCTGATTAGTCCCCAGACTTCTAAGGTCAGTGACGTAGTTTAAACCGTTCCCCCAAAAAGGAAATCTTGTGACACTGGACACCAATCCGAAAGCAAGTTAATGAAGAAAACATCATTTCAATAAATGCTGTTGGAACACCGAGAAAGCCACCCTCGACTCAAGCCCCCTGCCTTCCACAAAAACGAACTCAAAGTGAGCCACAGATGAAAACCCAGAAGAAAAAGAGGGAAAAAGTCTTTGGGATCTAGGATTCGGCAGAGTTTGTAGACATGACCCCGCGAGACCATCCCTAAAAGATAAGAGAAACAGTAAATATGTCGTAGTGGAATTACTGGGTCCTGTGGTAATTCTGGTTTTTTTTTTTTTTTTTTTTTAAAGACATCTATTTATTTATTTGACAGAGAGAGAGAGAGAGAGAGATCACAAGTAGGCAGAGAGGCAGAGAGAGAGGAGGAAGCAGGCTCCCCGCCGAGCAGAGAGCCCAATGCGGGGCTCGATGCCAGGACCCTGAGACCATGACCTGAGCTGAAGGCAGAGGCTTTAACCCACTGAGCCACCCAGGTGCCCAGGTAATTCTGATTTTAACTTTCTGAGGAACCAATGAAAATGAAAACACTAATTCAAAAAGGTATTTGCCCCCGTGTTTATTGCAGCATTATTTATAATGGCCAAAATGTGAAAGCAGCCTCTGGTCCATCCACAGATGAGTGGACACAGAAAATGTGGTATACATCCAAAGGAGTATCACTCAGCCATAGAGAGAAGGAGACCTTGTCCCCCCCCTTTTGGAGAGTGAGCACGTGTGCTCAATGGGAGGGGGTTGGGGGGCACAGAAGGAAAGAGCGCGGGCATCTTAAGCAGACTCCTCACCCAGCACGGGCCCGATGGGGGGCTCAATCTTCCCACCCTGAGAGCACGATCTAAGCTGAAATCAAGAGTTGGGACACTTAACCGACTGAGCCACCCAGGTACCCCGAGAACATTACCCAGCTATAAAAAGAATGAGATCTTAGGGCGCCTGGGTGGCTCAGCTGGTGAAGCCTCTGCCTTCAGCTCAGGTCATGATCCCAGGGTCCTGGGATCGAGCTCATGTCTGGCTCCCTGCTCAGCAGGGGGTCTCCCTGTCCCTCCCTCCATACTCATGCTCTAATAAACAAATGAAATCTTAAAAAAGGAGCTCTTGCCATCTGCAGAAACACGGACCCAGCAAGTATAACGCGACGTGAAATAAGAGAAAGATGCCGACCGATTCTGCTCCTACGTGCCACCTCAGAAACAAAGCAAATGAACAAGGAAAAACACAGACAAACCAAAAACAGACTCTTACCTATAGAGAACACACGGTTCTCTATAGGTTACCAGAGGGGAGGTGGTGGGCCCAAAGGCACATACAGCAGTGCGAAAACCACCCCCACACCGTAGCTTCGCTGCATTTAATGAACACTGAGAAATACGTAGGATTGTTGAATCATTATACTGTACGCCTGCAAC